CCGGAGCGGAGGGGAGCCGAGCGCCTGGTCCCGCGGCACCTTCACCCGGGGCCTGTTGCTAATTGCAGCGAGCAATTAGTGTCACAACAAGGAACTCGGGACCGCGCAGCCCGGCCAGCTGGGGGACGGCGTCTCCTATAGCGCGGTGGGGAGCTGGGGTGATGGGAGGGCACCCATTAAACAGCACCCCCAGGCATCTGTGTGACGAATTTGCACCGTGCTCAGCGGGGCCCGGAGGCAGGGAGGGCGACTCCGAACCCGCTCGCTGCCCAGGATGGGAGGCAGGAGCCCCGGGCAGGCCCGGAGGGCCGGGGCGGGACGTGTGATGTGGCTGTCCCCATGTCCCCACGGTGCCATCGGTGCCGCGGCAGGGACGGGGACGCAGGGAGGAGCGCGGCTTCTTCCCGCCCTCGCTCCCTCCTGTGCTTAAAAGCAGCGGGTGCCCTCCTTGCCTTCCTCCCTCCTCCTCCTCCTCCAGCTCATCCTTTGGGACACCCCGCGGCCGGGAGACCGGGGGGGGGCGGGGGCCGGAGCAGCCACCCCCATCCTGCACCCGGAGCGTTTCCGCTCCGCTCCGGTGCAGGGGCCGGGGCAGAGCCGCTTTCCCGGGCGGAGCTGGGTCAGAGAAGCAGCTCTGGAGGAACCAGGTGGGAAGGGAGCGAGCGAGCGGGCAGCGCGCGGCGACAGGCGGGGACAAGGGACCCGGCTCTGCTGAGATGTAGAGGTGCCCCCGAGGGAGGCGGAGGAGGCAGTGCCGAGTGCTCCCGGCCTTGGCTACGGCTCCTGGGGCGGCTCCTCGCTCCCGATCCGGCAGCTCCGGCCGTGCCGGGATGGGGATGGTCATGCCAGGCTCATCCCTGTGTGGGAGGCTGCAATTCCGTGCCCGGGAGAGCTGCCCGCCACCATCCACGTGCGGATTGTAGAGAGCCGACTGGTTCAGGAAGTTTGGGATCCGGCTTCAGCTTCCTGGGAATGAGGGGCTCCAACATGGTATGGAACATGCCCTCCTGAGCTGGCACCGTGGGCCGGGATGGGGATGGTCATGCCAGGCTCATCCCTGTGTGGGAGGCTGCAATTCCGTGCCCGGGAGAGCTGCCCGCCACCATCCACGTGCGGATTGTAGAGAGCCGACTGGTTCAGGAAGTTTGGGATCCGGCTTCAGCTTCCTGGGAATGAGGGGCTCCAACATGGTATGGAACATGCCCTCCTGAGCTGGCACCGTGGGTGCTCAGGGCTGGGGATGGAGAGAAACGGGGTCATCTACGCTCTGACGTGTCCCCCACTGACCTGGGAGGACATTTTGGGGGGAGGGAACCATGTTTTCCCACATTGCCAAGCACCCTTGTCCTGCTCTCACTAAGCGGCAGCATTCCTGATCCATTGGGAAGCAGGGGAACGGGATGGTCCCTTCTGTGCTGGATGGACCTGCTGGTTCATCCCAGGCGTCCTAGCTAGAGAGACAACGGAAAAATGGGATGAGAGCTGGGACAACATCACGCAGTTACTGCGGATGGAGGTGGGAGGATCTGCAGGAGATCAGGGAGGGACCGGGATCGGCTGCTCCAGGCTCAGCACCGCTGCACGGGAAGCAAAAACGAGGGCAGATGATGGTGAAGAGGCACCAGTCACCCTAGGCTGTGGTCTCCAGAGGGCTTCTGGAGCCGGTCCTTCTTTTCCC